AACTAAAAGTAAAGCACAGTCTCAAGGATTTATATGGCTGGTACTGCTGTCAACATTCAGCTCTCAGCCTGGTCCTCACCGCATTCCCCCTGCCCATCTCCACAATGTGCTTTAGAGTCACTAACTTCTGAGCATCAAAGAGAACAAGCATCCAATACATACAGGAAATAGAATGATGAAACCTCTTACAATTGCTTTAAGTGGGACAGGGAAGGGGTGTTGGGGTAGGGGGAGATGGAGGGGCAAGCTAACCAATGTACAATGTAAGGCTATTTGGAATTGTCACAACAAATCCCTCCTGTACAAGGAATATATGTGAATAAAAATGGGGAATAAAGAGAACAAGTATCCAAGCATACAAACTGAAGTATGACTAGAGGGCTAATTCTCCTGGAAGAGCAGCATGTGCCGAATTCCAAAGTCAAATTAGCTTGTTGAACCACCTCCTGCTCTTCTCCAGGTGGCACAGGCCAGACACGAGACTGAACACCTGGGTCCTGTCTGAGGTAATCAGGAAGATCTAGTGACTAAAAGTGAATAAGGAGACTGGCAGGAGTCCTTTTCAGAATGCTGAGGGGTGGGGTGGGGTGGGGGTGGGGGCCTATGACTAAGGATCTCCTAATTCTAGTGGAAGGACACACGGCCATGAACACCAGTTAGTCACTGCCTGCCAGAGGCTAGGAAATGGATTTTAAGACCTCCATAGGCCATTTTTGATGCCTTTAAAGAGCTAATGAACCAGAGCCATGAAACAGGCCACTGCTGCCCAGGGCTCTGGTACATTCTACATGATGTGTGTCACTGCAGTGCTACCCCCAAGCTCCATGCCAAGCTGCAACCCTGGGCACAGCTCACTACTAACCCAACTCTACTCACATGGCCTGCTGTCTTTCAGGACCTGCTGAGCCCAGGCCTTAGGCCCTGGTGTCTGTGACGAATCTCACGGGCAGAATTGTAACACGGGGCAGCATCATTAAAAAAACAGTGCATGCAGTCAGGATTTCCTCGGTATTTGCAGTTTCTACGTGCTGATTTCCTTCATTCTGAGCTATTGCTGGCAGGTGAAGGCATGGAGTCCCACCAGGGGTATGGTGACCTGCCCGAAGTCATTTCATGAGTCAGGCAGCGTTGGGATCTGATTAGGTCCTCTGGCTCCAGAACTCATGTCCTGTAAGAGGATTGTCCTGTAACTGGCAGCTGCTTTGGGGGAATGGAAGCAACATGCAGGGAGTGTCCTTGCCGACTTTTCTCAGGTTGCCAATGAGGCTGAAGTTAAAGGTTGGAAAAGTTCATTTGGCACTTGTGTGCTAAGAAATGGCCTGCCACTAGCATGAAAGAGTCCCCAGCGTCCTTGAGCACTACAGTCCTCTCGGCAGGTAATAGGAAATTCAAGCATAGTACTCCCTTTCTGTGTCCAGGGCTCACTTAGCACACCTCGATCCTGTCCTGCCAGGGACTAAATGCTGTGCCCTGTGTTCACAGATTGGGTGGGAAGAGCTGGAGCTGGTTTGGGAAGAGGGATCTTATTTTTGAGGATTTGGGCAAAAAAAAAAAAAAAAAAGGCCCAGCCAACCCATAGATGTAGTAAGCTCCATTAAGATAAGGACGATGTTTGCTGACTCTGCTGTTTGCTGGGGTCTAGTTCAGTGTCTAGAGCCTAGGAAGTATCTTATAAACGTGCCTGATTTTTTTTTTGACAGTAATGGAGTTTGAACTCAGGGCCCTGTACTTGCTAGAAACTCGAGCCACACACCTCACCATTTTTGCTTTAGTTATTTTTTAGATAGGTTCTCACATTTTTTGCCTCGGGCCAGTCTCAAGCTATGATACTCCCACCTATTCCTTCTGCATAACTAGAATTAGAGGTGTGCACCATCATGCCCAGATTGTTGGATGAGATGGGGATTTTGCTAACTATTTGTCTGGACTGGCCTTAAACCACAATCTTCCTGATCTCTGCCTCCTGAGCAGCTGGGATTACAGATGTGAGTCACCATTGGCTGATCTGATCACTGAATATGTTCTATCTGAGCATTTTCTGAATAGGAGCTGATTGCTTCCATTGGGATGGAAGATGAGACAAGGTATCCAGGGAGGTGACATTCAAGACCCCAGGCAGGCAGGTAGCAGGGATCTAAAAAAATATTTCTTCATAGAGAGGGGGCCTCCGAAAACCAGGTTGCTGTAGGAAGAGGAATTTACAAGAACAAGACAGAGCTCACATATTCTGTGCATGGGGAAGATACCCAGTGATCTGAACTGACCACCAAGCCGGGGACAGATTCCAGGCAAGGTGAACAAGGCTCAGTATACTTTGTGAGGGAAGAAGTTTATTTTAGCTCGTAGTTCTGGAGGCTGGAATCCAAAGACATGGTGCTGGTGGGGACCTTGAGCTACTTCAACTCACGGCTGAAAGGGCAAGGTAGTTTGTGCAGAAGGGCACAACCCAAGGGGCAGCTTCTTTTTATAATGAATCCATTCGTGAAGGCTCTGTCCCCACCTCCAAGCACCTCCCACTAGACCCCTCTTTCTAACACTTGCTGCATTGGGGATCAAGCCATCAACAGGAATTTGTTGAGTGCTGAGAAGTCTGGCGACTTCCATGTCCCTGCTGCAGGCTGAGCCAAGCCAGGAGGGATACCAGGTGCAGTGCCAAGAGGAGAGAGAACTATGGAGATGGGGACTAGGCAGGCCTGGCAGACGCCTTCTTTCTGCCCTGAGAGCTTATCCATGCTTGTGTCTCTCTATAGGAGATGTTCTACATAGACTGGCTTTATGAAAGTAAAGAAAGGGCTGGCATCTCCCCGAGCACAGGCAGAATGGACTGGACCCTGGAGTCCTGGAGAAGCCCCTGGGCACACTGCATGGGAATCCAGCTGTGCTGCCAGCTGCTGTCCCTTGGACACAGGCCCTTACACCCCGCTCTGTTCAGGCAGTCCTATCCTCAGAGCTGTGTTCTATTGGGGAACAGAGCACCCTGCAATGAACTTCAAAACACGCACAGAATGACTCATTCAAAGCAGCCCAAATGCAATCACAAAAGAGGCCCCAGTGCTGGTGCCTGGGGTGTCGTGAGAGGGGACTGGAAGAAAGAAGTTCCCCAGAGGAACTTGAGAAGAAGAGCGTGATAACAAAAACCGTACAACAAAAAAAATCTGTAACAAAAAAAAAAGTACAAAAAAAATCCGTAACAACAAAAGCAACACACCATGGGGGAAAACTGCCTTCGTAGGAGAAGTCATCTTTACAGCATCACTATTGCCAAGCTGGGACCTCATCTTTCGCACTGACTTCAATTCAGAATATGCTCAATGCAGATATTGGGGGGTTTTTCTTAGTGAATCAGAGGGAAATGCAAACTCCCAGGGGAGCATCCCCAGGAGCACAAGGGGGAGGAACTACTGATTTGTGCTGGGTCTTCCAGGCACCACGTCTGCAGCCCAGGGGCAAAGAAGCATGATGCTAGGGCAGAGCCTGGAGCAGCTCCAGGAGGCTGCAGGTCTGGGATCTGGGGAGGCCCTTGGGGTGGCCCTCTTCTCCAATGGCTGGAGAGAATGGAGTAGTGTTGGGGACACCTACAGGCCACCAATTTTGGAGTTCCCAGATAGCAGCCATCCTGCAACCTCCCATGGGCTGTGGCAATGTGGGATTTGTCTCTCTTGCCCAGAATCTTCCATTAAGTGGGAGGTGTCCCTGCCTGAGGCTAGGCCAATTGCAGTAGGCAGAACACAGGGCTCCCTGGTTCCTGTGACAATGCAAAGTCACTAAGGAGCTCCCTTTTCATGTCATCTGAGGAAGCCCCCACCTATTTTCTTCAACCCTCTTTCTAACACTTGGTTTTGTCCCCTTTTAAGTTTCCCCATTTTTCTTATCTGGTACGTCAAAACATCAAATAGTTTTCACTGCATTTCTTCCTAGATACAAAGACAGCATCACTGTCTAGGCCTGAGGCTCAGAAGAGTCAGCATGGGACAGAGATGGTTCACATAGATCTGGGCTTGTGACCCTGGTCCAACACTGCCACCATCTCTGCTGCTCTACCCTGGGTCCCCATACCCCTCAGCTACAAAAGTCATGAATCTCTAACTCCCAGGATGTTAGGAAGTTTACAAAATGCACTGGTATGAGCTGGCTAGAAGTATACGGTCTGTGGCCATTAGACTCAGTTCTCACTATTCAAAGTCACATGTAGAGTAGACGCAGGCTATTTAAGGGAGATGGCCTTCACAGTGACTTTTATGAAAGGAAAGGAAAGGCTAGCCTCCCTCAGGAACACAAGCAGAGCAGCCTAGGTCCTGGAGTGGCTCCCGGACCAGGATCTTCCTGGGAGTCCAGCTGTGCTGGGACCTGCTGCTGCCCTGCTGGCCCCTGCACCCTGCTCTATTCAGGCAGGTCCATCCTGAGCAACCCATCGCCAAGATGCCCCACACACACACAGCCAAGCCTCGGGTCTCCTCTGTGTCTGTCCCATCCTGGCCCTCATCACTCCACTCACCATTCCTAAATGCCCCCTTTTCCTCCCCAGCATCTGGAATGAATGGCTCTCCCATACAGAGACGCAGATAAGACTGAGGGTCTCAGAAGCTAAAGAATAACCTAGAAACAAACCAAATCCAAACACCCCATCTAGCCTGTCAAAGGCCATTGTATTTCCATGCTATTCCATTACTACACTCAGGTCAGGCCTGGAAATTTCCCCAACTCTTGAGGCTCTAGGAATCCATTCTAGACACTCTCCATCAGCTCCTGCCCACCATGCCCAGCTCCAGGACCCTTTTCTCATCCCCTCAGGGCAGAACCCAGGGAGCCTGCAGAAAAGACACTGTCTTGGACTGGTCCTGACTTCCCAGCTGCTTCTACCAAAGAGTCAGCCTTCAGGAAGCCAGTGCAAACACACTAGAGGCTGTGCCCTTGGATCGTCTGCTCCCTGGTGGCCTTTGACTCCCCACATCCTGCCTTCCCACTCCAAAGGACCAGGAACACAGACACCCCATTTCCTCGTTCTCATGTGTGTTTATTGAGCGCCCACAGAGTCCGTGGTATAGAGCCCATGGTTCAGAGCCACATTCCAGTCAAAGACCGGAGCTAGTACAGAGAACGTTTCATAGCTGCGTAACATCTGTTAAGGGAGGGGGAAGGGGAGAACTAATCACAGAACAAATTCCTATTCGAAAGCAACAGAATCCCTTCTGAGAGTAATATATAGTCTACGCGCACACAGCCGCACACGCGCACACACGCGCACACGCGCACACACGCACCCCTCTGAACGAACACGTAAGTATACCCACTCAGTTGTATATGCATGCATATACAAGTATTTGTGGGCTAATAAACTAATATATGCCATATGCACGCACACCACCGCACAGATAATCTGGCTTATGCTATCAAAGACACTACGTCTCCAGGTTCTAGTGGAAGCAATCTGTCCTAGGTTCCTGCGGCATGCAAAACTTGGAAGATTCGAGAGTCACGGTTTAGGACGATGGGGATACATGGGTACGGTTCCATCCATGGAGCCCCAGCCACAGCACATGAGGTTGCTCATTGTTGGAGACAATGAAACCTTCGGGAAGGGCTCCCAGGGCAGAGCAGAGGAGGCGGAGGCCCCCCCCGTCCATGGCGGGGCCCACGGGAGCCCTGGTGTGTTCACCAATCTTCAAGGCAGAGTTGAAAACTCTGGTTTTCCAGTGTGGAGTCCTGCTAACAGTGTTCCTTGAGACATCGCAGCAGATCAAGGTGAGAGTCCCTTTTCTTGCTCGCTCTCTGCAGCCTCCCCTGTGTGCTAACGCATCTTGTAATCATTAGATACAGATGTTTCACACAGCTGTCCCTTAAAATCCAAGTCTACTGTGAAATCGAGGTCTCGCTGGGAGGAAAGAGCAAAGGGTTGTGGCATTAGTCTGGGTAGGAGGTTGCGGCTCTGCCCCAGACCCAGGCCTCCTCCTGGCACCATGCCAATGGACTGCCACGTTGTTTTGAATGGTTTCTCACTAAAGGATCTCTATGAACAGTCTTCAGAAAGCTATCATGAGATCTTATCATCCTCACAGGAAGTGCTTTGCTCTCTAACCTAATCCTTCCTCAATTAATATAAAAACGTCCCTCAGATTTCCTCCTGGGAGAGAAGAGGGGTGTTTGGGTCTTCCATGGCACACCCCTGCAAACACTCTGCAGAGGTTCCAGGCTCACATCTAGTGCTGCTTAGAAAGAACCCTCCACGCCAGCTGGGGAAGTATAAACCCAACATCTTCCAGGCCCCAGAAACTATTTCCTGGCCTAGTTCATCCTAACTGAGGTAGAACCTACTTATAGGACAGAATCCGTTCCCAAAGGTCCTGTGTAAGGAGCCTTAATCTGTCCTCAAGGTCAAGTGCAGGTAAGGACCTAGAGAAAGTCTCTAATTTTGAAGGATCAAGGCTGGAATCCCTTAATTATTCCTAATTATTCCTAATTGTGACCTCCAAACACAACTGTCTTCTGCCTCCCTCAGGAACCTTGCTGACTGAGCACAAGATATCAGAACCTGGAAGAGTGGGTCCTGGGAGCTCCCTAGGAGCCCACACCAGGAGTCCCTTCTCTTTGGTGACTTTGGCCACACGGGGACTCCTCAGACTCACCACGTTTTTGGCATTTGGCTTCATGGATATGGTTCCATAGATTTCCTCCCCCCTTCGGACAGTTAGGTAATCTTCCAAGTAGAAGACAGTCTGCTTCCAGTGGGTGTAGGGAGCATCAGGGGCTGGAGAAAGAAGGTCAGAGAGGTGACAAGAAAGAGTCAGAGACCATGTCTCCAGAGGGCTGAGGCTGGGACCACAGAGAAGTGCTGGGCTTCCCAGGGGACTCAGTGAAACCACCCCATACCAGCATCATTGTAGGATCAGGTGCTTGGGCAGAACTCCCTACTCAACCCCAATACCCTTCCTTCCATCAAGTCCCCTTCCCCGCAGAACTGCTGGTCTGCAAAAGAAGTAGGTTCATATTACAAGTTCATTCCCAGGCTGGGTGCTGAACGCCCCTCACCAACTAAACTCATTAGCACATGAATCCCATGATGCTACTGTTCTAATTAGTCCAACAGAGTGAAGGCTTTCAGACAGTGTGGGGGAGAGATTTGTAGAGTAGACCATCCTATCTCCCCTTAAGTGACATCATTTAGGCAAACTCCAAAGTTCCACTGACATCCCATGTTCTTGCTCCTGGATCCCTGACTGTGACTCTGTGTCCCAGCAATGAACCCAGATCTTGGGTCCAAGCCTGCTGTAGGGTTCCAGCTGTGCCTTCCCAACTGGACCAGACAAAAGCTGTTGCCCTTAACGCAGAGAAACTAAAGCAGATACCTTAAAGCAACTGAGCCAATAGGAGAAGGGGACCAGGAACTAGAGAAAAGGTGAGATCAAAAAGAATTAACCTAGAAGGTAACACACACGCACAGGAAATCAATGTGAGTCAACTCCCTGTATAGCTATCCTTATCTCAACCAGCAAAAACCCTTGTTCCTTCCTATTATTGCTTATACTCTCTCTACAACAAAATTAGAAATAAGGGCAAAATAGTTTCTGCTGGGTATTGAGGGGGGGGAGAGGGAGGGGAGGAAGTGGGTGGTAAGGGAGGGGGTGGGGGCAGGGGGGAGAAATGAACCAAGCCTTGTATGCACATATGAATAATAAAAGAAAAATGAAAAAAAAAATGAAGGGTGATTCTCATTCCAGTCACTCCTCCTGCAGGATTCAAAGACACTGTGGTGCTTGCAGCACCCATTATTTGCCATTGAAACCCGTTGGTTCCCTTTGAGCACAGTACCCAGTCTCGGGTTAAACGTGAGAAAGGGGTCCTGCATTGTGCAGCACTGTCCCTTTCTTCGGCAGCAGTTATCTTCAGAACACTCTTCTGTCTTCCTCTTCCTTCTAGGATGAGGTTCAATCTGGACTCAGGCCTCCAATAGCACCGAGTTTATGCTGTCATGGTGTTTATCACACCCCAGAATATCACACCCCATCGGGGGAAAGGTATTTATTGCATTGTCCACAAGACTGCCGGCTCCATGATGACAGGGTCAGGAGGGCCTTGCTTACCATTGTACCTTTAGTGCCTGCCATAATATTCAGTCTGCACATATTAAGCAATTGGATAATGGCAAGAGTCCAGAAAGCATCTATCCTGTGATCTTCGGTGCACCCATAGATGTCCAATGACATTGGGGCCTCTGAAGTCTACAGATGGTAAAGACCTGTTTTATAGTAAGCTCGTCTTGTTTCCAGCTTTGTCCTTCCTCCAGCAGTTTCCTCTTTGCTTAGGACTAAGGCTAAGATGATAAACTTGGGGAGAATATGACCAGGCCTTCAAACACGTCAAAAGTTGTTGCATGCAAAGATTTACATGGGGCTTTGTATATGGTCTTGGGCAGAACTAACACTGGGAATTAGTAGAAGACAGATTTGCAACCCGTCCAATCGTATGTACTACCCGAAGTCCACTCCTGGAGGTGTTCACATGACCACTCTGAGTGAGTTCAATTTTCATGCATGGAGCCAGACCAGGTGACCTAGATCTCCCAAAATCCCAAATCTGTTATAATGGTGGCAAAGAGTCTTTCTTTCTTTTCCCTTTGCAATGAACTGACTCAATCAGCTGTCAGGAGTTTAAAAGAGAGACCAGAGCAGCTTTCAATGTGGGCATTTGGAAGTCAAGGCAAACTCAAGGTCATGGGAAGAAAGCAGCCTGTGCACTTGGAAGGGAAAGAGAGGCTATGAACGTTCAACCTGTGCCTCGCAAACCCTGTGTCCTCAAACACACCCAGCCCTCCTGGCCTCCAGGCATGCTGCTGTCTGCAGACCAAGTCCACCTGCTCCCAGAATGCTTCCTGCCAACTACCTCAAATTAATTGTCAAAAGGCTGCAATGTCAGTGGAGAATGTCACTGTGTGAGTGACAGCACTCTCGCCCCCACTTCCACCTACACCGTCTCAGACAGGTGTGCCTCCTGTCCCTAAAGCCCTCAGGAGAGGGGACTCAAGCAGCCTCCTTCTGTCACCTAACCAGATGCCTTCTGAGACCTGGGGACTTCACTGGCTCAGATTTGCTGACCATTGAGCCTAGAAGTTGGCCACTGATAGTGACCCCCAAAACAGACCAGACTCAAAGTTTAAGAACTTCCCCAAACATCTCATTTCTACCATGGGTCCAGTAGTGGTGGACTCATTGTCAAAATGAATTTTCTCGGTCCTAGTTCTTCATCAATGTAGGAACTTATTAGAACTTGGGGGCTTATTGCTTCTCGGCCTTTTGGCTAAGATCAAGTGTAGTACCTGTTCTTATCAGTTTAATATCGGATACGTCCTCTATCCGAGGACAATATATTAAGTGGATTTTTGGAACAGGGAGATGGAATGGGGCTTGCTACGTCCACTCCACACATCGACCTGGTATTGCTGTACCTCCGGGAACGGTGCACCACCTTCTAAAAAAAAAAAGAACTTCGGGGCTTGGCTCTACTGGAGTTCAATAATTCTGGGGATTCAGAGGAACAAAGCTATGAGGACATAAATCTCCCCCTAGGCATTTTCATCCGTGGCTGAAATCTCTGTGCCTCTCCTACCCGCTTTTGGGTGGACGTAGTAAAGACACCTGGACAACAACAGGCCCAGTTTCCAGTGTCTACTTTGCCACAAACTTGCATCATGACCCTGGGCTCATGTTGTACATCGGTGGAATACAGTCACAATCCCCTGAGGCACTGTGAGGGTCAGATGAGATGAGATGAGAAGGGGAAACATCACAGATTAAGGGTGACAGAATGTCCCATTGTGCCTGGGACACTTCCAGGTGGCATCTGTTCTCCTGACATAAGTATTATTACTTTTCTTTTTTACTTGCAGAAATATCATTTCTTCCTTCCTTCCTTCCTTTCTTTCCTTCCTTCCTTTCTTCTTTCTTTCTTTCCTTCCTTCCTTTCTTCTTTCTTTCTTTCCTTCCTTCCTTTTTTCTTCTCCTCTCCCTTCCCTCCTCCCCTTCCTTCCTTCTTTCTTCTTTCTTTCTCTTTCCTTTTTGGTGGTACTGGGGTTTGAACTCAGGGTCTCAAGTTTGTTAAGCAGGTGTTCTACCACTTGAGCCACTCCCACCCCTTAGAAGTATCCTAAATTGGAAGATGAGTTACACTGTCATCCACCTATACCCAGTGAGGCCCCATGTTAGGGATTGCTAAGTCACCTCATTGGGTAGTTATCTGATCATAATATAAAGTGGTGCATACTTGTATTCATCCATAAACTGTGACCAATTCTGGCCCGAAAAGGTAAGCCGCTCAGTCTAGTGATCTAGAATGTCCTAGGGAAGCCTCTGGAGTGCTGCTGTGCATGGAATGGCATTCAGTAGAGGGCCATGGACGACCTCTGTGCTCTCCTCATCAGAAACCAAGTCTTCCAGCTTTCACTATGACGAAGCTGCCTTCCTTCTCAGGGTATTCTGACCCCACACGTCAGCCCTCTCCCTGGCTTCCACGTGATGGAAAACTTCCACTACGTATTTTGGAACAAGAGTGGCCAGTACTGTCCACAGCATCCCAGGTGCCAGTGCAAACATACATGCATCTGGTAGACTTCTGTCTGGGATGCCTATCCTGTGCCGGGTATGGTTCTAAATTCAGGAGCAGCAACCAAGAAGAACCCAGCTTTGCAGACCCTCTCTGCCACCTTCAGATCCTACAGCCTAAAAGACAATCAGGTGAACAGGATGGCATGAGCTGTGGTATTGGAGAGGCTGGGAGCAAAGGGTCTCGGGGAACAAATGGCAAGGGCCTCTTACAAGGTTCCCCCTGTGCTTTTGCAAAGGGAACCTGTTTTGTTTCTTAATGGCTAGGTGGCTGATGGTTTTTTCTAGGATAAGATCATATTTCTAGCAAATTTGGAATTGTATTCCCTAGCAGGTGCACAGGCTTTTTGGAGAATTAGACTATGTACTTTTTTACCTGGGAAAATGACTCATTGTCACAAGATGGTGAAACTGGAAAGATGATGCCTGAGCCGAAGACCCAGGAAGAAATCAGCTCAAGGTCACCGCCAATGAATGGTCACCCTGCCTTGTTGATTACCAGAATGCTTCTATCCAGGCCACTGCCTCCCACCCACCATGCAGTTTTCCTGGATTGAACAACAGCTCCAAGGTCTCCAGTTCCCACTTCTACCTCATCATACTGAGGATGTGTCCAAGGAGGTGGGGACAGCTGTGCCTGCTCACTAGCAAAGCCTGAAACCCTGGGTGCCCGTGCCTATTTGTGATAGCTTCTGCCTGGAGCTGCAGAGACACCAGGGCCATTAGCAGAAATCATTTTCAAGCTGCACAATATGGGATGAGTTTTGGAGTGGCCCCCCCAGAGCCAGCTGTGCCAGGCTGAGATGAAAAACACAGTGGGGGTCGCTGGGAGGGGCTTCATACAGCAGGCTACACCTCCCATAAAGTTCAAAAACAACTGACACCAAACAGCACATTGTTTAGGCACATGCATGACGGTGATAAAAGTTTTGAAAAATAACAAGAAATACACAAGAATATTCTTGTTATTTGAAAAATAACAAGAATAACACAAAATTCAGGGAAATGTTCATCTAGAGACCATATAGGAGAATGGGACAGAATGGAACATACAATGTGGAAGACACAAAGGTATTGACAACATTTGAGGGAGTTGTGTGGTGGGCTCACAGGGACTTATGACTATGAAATAATTTATTTACATTTATAAATTGCAAATATAATAATGGCATTTATTTATAATGTATTTCTAGTTGATCTTTATATCCTAATTATTGCTTAATAACTAATGTGTTCGTTATTCTAATAAAAATAATAACAAATTTATTTCTAGTTACTACTTGCATTCTAATTAATATTTATTTCCATTTTAATTATTGAGTTAGGTAGTGAGCTCATGACTGTCCATTATATCAATAAACAAATAAGCAAAATTGAACCCTGCGTGGTCCAATGCTGATGGGATGTCACAAGCTGAGAACTGAGATGAATGTAATTAGTCCTAATTAATAATTAATTAATTAATATAAAGGAGTTACTCTGTTAGTGGTCAGGGTGCACAGTGTGCATACAGCCCACTGCCAACCCAACAGGATCCAGTAAAGAAGTGCTGGAAATAAAACCCCCTGCTAACCTCCCAAAGTGACTTGACTTGAAAGCAACTAAACAAATTCTCCCCACCCGCTTCTCTCCCTGCCTAGAGGTCTGCAGGTATCAGGATCCCTGTCAATCAGAGGCATCAAGTCTTGGTGAGTGCAGAGGGTAAACCTTAGTGAGGAACCCTCTGCCAGAAGGGAGTCAGACTTGGCCAACTTCTCCACCACCTTGTTCAGGGTGGTCTTGCACAAGGGCAGTGGTTCCCAAACCTGACCGGGCCCCACAATCCTCTAGACAGCTTATCGTGACCTAGAGTGCTGGCTCCCACCTCCAAGTTTCTGAGTCAGTGGGGCTGGGGCAGGGCCTGAGAATTTGCAGCGCTTATAAGCTGGGGGATGGGGGGAGGGTACTGATGCTGCCCATCTACAGACCATGCTTTGAGAACTAAGGCCAGAAGCACTGCTCCTAGCACTCCTAATGCCCTTCTAGAACCTAACTGTGTGGAATTTTGCACAAAAGGAAGGGAGTAAGGCACTGTGACTACAAAGCAGTCTCACGCTGGGACTTGGGCTGTGTCCTTTGGGCTTAAATGAGATGATGGTGGGGGCGTGGCCAGCAAATAGGAGTTGATAAGCTACTGGGTCATTTCCTTTTCAACTTTGAGGGCAAATCCTCACAATTGTCACGCAGCCCAGAGACAACTTCAGTGAGCTTGAGCTTAAGCGAGATCCCTCACATGGGGACACCCAGAATGTCATCCTTGCTACCACAGAGCCAGGGTTCATCTCTAGACAGGGGCCCAGTATGCCACCTGTTTGGCATCAGGGACTGGAAGGAGATCATCTTAAGCAAAGCTAAGTGTTGCTGAGAGCCACAGGGCTGAAGCCCGGGCTTCAGAAACCCAGACCTTTTCCAAACCCAGAAGCCCCTGACCACTGACTTTCTCATCACATACAGCAGGGCAGGCCACCATCTGGGGATGGGACAGGCAGAGCCAGACATTATGGCTCCAACCCTGGCTTCCAATCACAACCAAGAGTTTCCTCAAGCAAACTCTTCCTTCACTTGCTCACTACCTCCCTGCCATTGCTAGCTGAGCCTTACACATTCTTCAAGGTCAAGTAGAATCTACCATCCTCCTCCTGGTTGTTTCTGCACATAGGAAAGATGAGTTTGGTTCACCTACTGCCCCTTCATTCAGGAAATGAATAATCATATCCGCAAATTCTGGTAGAACTGCCCCCTGCCACATACACGCTCACTCGGACCCTGAGGATGGGACAAGCTGCCAGTTGCCAGGAAGACTCACACGAATAGCCCAACTGGAGTCCTACCTCGAACAAAGATGTGTTTAGAACTCCATTGTAGAAACCAGGAATGCAGAGATGAATGAAACGCAATCCCTACTCTCCGAGGAGACTGTCAATTGCGAAAATGAATGGGAATGTTGAATAAGTTATGGACTGTCCTCTAATGGAATCCTGAGTGGTTGCTTTAAAAAGAAAGTAGATGACCTGCTAGGTTCCAGAAGCATCTCCAAGACATGCTGTTAAGTAAAGGAGAGGTAGCAAGGGGCAGTGTGCAGATGGGCCCAGCCCATGCTTCTAAAAACTGGTAGTTTTGATATTGTACTTACAGTATAAGACGATACTAATGGAGAGAGCTGGGTAAAGGGATCCCAGAACTCCGTGTGCTATTTTTTACAACTTCCTGTGAGTCTGTGATTAATTTGAAATTTAAAAAGGTATGCGTCTGTGTGGGGGCACACGTTCTTGAGCACCCACTGAAACATTTTGGAAGGCTGGGTGTGGTAGTATGTTCTTTCAGGAGGCTGGGGCAGGAGGATTGTGAGTTTGAGGCCAGCCTGGGCTAAATAGCAAGACCCTGTCTCAAAAACCAAAAAAACAAGAAAGACAGAAAGAGAGAGAGAGAAGGAGAATGAAAGGAAGGAAGAGATAACAGGGGCACACGAGCATAGGAAGACAACCATGTGGGAACACATTGAGAAGGCAGTCACCTTCAAGCCAAGAGAGAGCTCAGGAAAAACCAAACCTCCATCTTGGCATTCAGCCACCAGAAACTGAGAATAAATCTCTGTTGTCTGCGGCCCCCAGTCTGTGGTACCTTGTTATGACAACCCAAGCAGATTCATACAGGCAAAAGGGCGTGTGACAAGAGGCCTCTGATAAAGGAGCCTTCTGCCCATGGCATACCAGATGCACAAGGGTGAGAGACGTGCAGAGGCCAAGGCCCAGGGTGGAAGAAGCCCCTGAGCTCAGGGCAGGTGCTGCAGGGAGTTCAGTGTGGCTGCCTGGTACATGGAGTACAGCCCCAGAGCTTCCTCCCACCATGTGCCCCATCCTCTGCCAACGAAGCCTCAAGGAAGCACAGAGGAGTAGAGGATAGTTTAGAAAAGCAACCAAGAACTCACCTGTGGAAAACCCCATTTTCTTGTGGCACTTGGTAAATTCGATATTAAAGTAGGTGACCAGGGCGTGGACATAGTCGTTGCGCTGTATCTGCAGGCAGAAGGCAGATGTGAACGACAGCTCTTCTGTCTTCACGGTGTAAATGTCCACCTCCTGCAGCCCAGAGAGGAAAGAATGCAGAAACTTACGGCCTCCACCAGGACCAAGGGCTGCCAAACACCTCATTCCAAGACAGAATGTGGTCAGTTGACTCTGTGGGGTGCCATTACTCTTGTGGTGATTTACAGGATGACACTGCACTAAGCCTCAGAGTGGCCCACGTGAACACTGCCACCTTTACCCAGTCATTCTCAAAGTGTGGTCCCTGTGTAGCCAACATCAACAGCATCTGGGAGCAAGTTCTGAGGGGGTAGAAAGGGTCCCCAGACCGACTGGATCAAGACAGCAGCAAGTGTTATATGTCAGGCCAGCTCAGGGATTCACATGAACTGTTTTTTTCTTTTGGTGGGGGGGGTGTTGTACTGGGGTTTGAACTCAGGACCTCATGCTTGCTGGGCAGGTGCTAAAACCTAAGCCACACCTCCAGCCTGCTTTTACTTTAGGTTGTTTTTTCAGATAAGGTCTCAGGGCCGGCCTCAAACTCTGATCCTCCCACCTCTGCCTCCTGCACAGCTGGGATCACAGGTACACACTACCACACCCAGTTAGTTAGTTGGTATGTTGCTAACTTTTTGCCTGGGCTGGTCTCAAAGCACAAGCCTCCCAAGTAGCTAAGATTTCAGGCATGAGCCACGGTACCCGGCCTGGTTTCACATTCAAGTTTCCAGCAATAGGAGGCATCGAACATTGTCTCAGGAGTAAGAACCTGAGGTCTTAAAGCCACAGACTGAGCAGAAAGGAGTTCTGCTCACCATTTATAACAAGGCCACACAGCCCTTGAAAATAAACATAAGGGAGAAATAGGTAGAATTTTCAGTTTGGGCTAGGAATGTAAAACACAAGGAACAAATAATTTTCACAGTTTCCCCTGGGAAGTGACAGAAAATCAATGTCACACATGGAAGAAGGGTAATAGGATGACCGGCACTGTATTAGTCTTGTGAAGGACACTGATCCGCTGTGTGCTGGCTGCCATGAGCCAGGAAAGGCCACCAGAAGCCTAGGAGGCATCCAGACAGAGTCCCATGAGGCCAAAGAACTTCCCATGTGTCAGGGTTGTGTAGCAAGAACCACTGTAGCAGAAATTTTAAAAGCCAGGTAGTCACCTGTGTGTCTGGCAGTGTCCTCCTGACACCCAGAAACAAAATGAGCCCAGAAACCGAGTGGTGCTGCATAGATGGCTTTTATCTCTCTGTATTTCTAGGCTGTGTAAAGGAGAAAGAAATGCAGAGTATCCTAAGACTTGCAAAGAGAGGTCCTGACTCCACAGAGAGGGACAGAGGAGGAACAGCAGCCTCAGGAGCTAAATGGATCAGAGTCCAGCTGGGGTCTGGGGTCTCCAAAGATGGAGAAGAAGCTTGATTGAAGGGTGAGCCAGTGGCAGACATGCAGAGGTAGGTGGGATCATAGAGCCCACTCCCTACCCCTGGACCGAGCCTTCCGTCCCCAGTAAGTGGCACCCTAGAGCTTTCTGGACACCTATCAGGCAGCCCAGTCCGTGTCCAGACACCTCGATCATTCCATCCTTCAGATGGAACCAGGAAGAATCGGCCTGTGCCTGTCACTTCCACCCACAGGCCAAGCCAGATGCCTGTTTCAACTCATGCAGGCCCCTCTGCCCCTTCCTCTGCCCTGGCAAGAGTGGTTTCCCAGCCCTGTCATCCTGGCCTTTTTCTTCTGGTGGCACCCAAACTGAGTGTAAGACTGACCTCATCAGGCCCCTCACCCTCGTGTTTGGGACCTACTTCCAGGAGCTCCTTATTGTCCTTTTCTGCCTGCACCTATGTCCTCCAGCCCCTCCCTGCACCATGCTCCTTGAGCAGAGATGGTCCTCCCACATATGATGGTGTCCTTTTTGTTTGGACCATTGCTCCCATCTGGAAGACCTCCTGTCCCTTCATAGCACTCTCTATGCCCCTGCCACATGGTGTTCACAAGTTCCCTCCAGCTCCAGAACGCCAGAGCTTCCCTTGGCGACCTGAGTTTTTATTAATGGCACCAGCAAGGTCCACAAGCTTCCAGCTCTTCATGCCTGGGCCAGCCGGGACCTCCATCTTCCTATTTACGCTTCCCTTGTACTGGGATGATAAGTGCCACCATGCCCAGCCATTGGTTGGAATGGGGTCTTGTGAACTCTCCCTCCCCCACCACTGACCGCAAACTGAGATCCTCCCAAATAACTAAGATTATAGTCTTGAGCCACCACACCCAGTCAGGACTGATTTCTTTATAGTCCATTCAGACTGTGCTACTCCCTGGGTCTACAGCCTCCAATGGCTCCCTATGGCTTATTATCTAGACCTAGTTTTTTTCTTTCTTTCTTTCTTAGCCACTCCTTCACTTTTTCACCACTTTCAGCTCTCTCTCTCTCTCTCTCTCTCTCACAGTCACAGTCACTGAGTTAAAAGTCATTCAATTTGGAGGTCACACAGCTTGAGCAGAATGCTGTTGGTTTCCCTGGCTATACTGTAGATGACACCCCTGACCGGAGCCCCTCAATGGATTAAAAGTTGTGCTTCATTCTTTTTTCTGCCTTTCAGCTTCCTCCTTCTGTCCTGGGGAAGCTTGCTATCCCCCCCACCCCGGCCCAGGTCCACAGGGGAAAGTAGCCATTTGCTCTCTTCCCCCTTTTCTCTGAGGAAAAAGATGTCTTTCGTATCTAAATAATTAACTGAGGAAATAACTATTTCAGGAAAAGGAACTAAAAGGACAGAGGCACTGTCCCTCTGTCAGTTTTTAATCATAACTTTTCTTTAGACTTAGAATTCAGAACCCCACAGACAGCGATAGATAACAGCCCGGGCACCAGAAAAGTAGACCTTCCTTGGTGCCCACCTGGCTGACAGGCCTCCCACCAGCTATGAAGCCAAGCCTCCAACCCGAAGGCAAAATAGTCTCTGTTGGTCACAGCCTCCAGCTCCTTTGCCTGGCTTGGCTTTCCAAATAAGTCATTTTCCTTGTCCTAAAAATGCATCATTGCATCCAATGAAAATGGGTTCATGGTTTTACACACACACACACACACACACACACACACACACACACACACGCACACACCACCACCAGATCTAGCAGGAATTCTACATCCAGAAAGTCTTGCTCTCAGATTGTCCATCAACCAAATGACAGCTGTCGTGTCCTGTGTTAGCTGACAGTGTTCAATAGGTCCTGGAGACATTTGCATCTTAATAGGGACCTCTGAGGGCATAAATGCGTTGAAGAGGAGAGTCATGATCTTCTACATTCAACCGCAACAAAGGCAGGCTGGGGCCCCAGCCATCTGTCAGAGTGGACCAGGCATGACGGCGCTTCAGGGACACAAAAGCCCCCACTGCCCTCCCAAATCCAAAGTCTGCAGATGGGCCCCAGTTATCCTGATACCCCAGAGCCCAAGCCTCTTTGCTGGAAGGTTCTTTCTGTCTGCATTGGCAGCAGCATCTCTGAGATCCCAAGAGAGCAGTTGCTTCGGCCTCAGGCAACCCCAGGAGGCAGAGGGCTCTGCTGGAGTGAATTAGTCAGGCGAACCCCTGGCCACTGCTACCCCACAGAAATGTGACAAATAGATGTCTGTGAGCAGAAGTCTGGTCAAAACAGAGTCTTAATTATAATAAAGTGTCATACTCCACAAAGCTAATAGCAGTGAAAATAGCAATTAAGTGTGTGAAGAAGGGCAAGTGTTTTCTCAGAAGGCTCAGGAGACGTTGCCTGACACATTAGTGAGAGAGAGAGAGCTGGGGAGGGGCTCGTCTGACGGTGAGAGCACGATTTTTACCATTCTCAGAGGTTATGGTGGGGTGGGGGGGGCAGGCATCATCCCACATGTCCAGTCCTGAGACACAATAGGAGTCCTTCCGAATTTTCATGAGGAGAGGAGGTCTGCAGCCCCCCTCCTTGCTCAAAGCTGCTTTGGCCCTGGACACACTGAGGTGCAACCCAGGGAGAGGCCCTCGCTGGTACTAGTTTGGGAGAAGGGGGGCAAATGAGAGCAGCGGGCACACCTGTAAGTGGGGGCCAGGTCAAGTGCAGAGAGCCCCCCAGGATCCAGGAATACTGAAGGATTTGCTCCCTAAGCTGGTCACCACATGCAGGTATCTGACAGCTGCTATAATGGCCATGTGTCATTTTGGCAAATGCAGTAGCAGTACTGGACTTCTTCTTAATTCTGCAATATTGACAGAAATGCTTTGCCTAAGAGTGAGCTCCTCGTAAGAAGGTGTTCTTTTTCTGTCCTTGTTTGGGGGTCCAAGTGAAGCTTCTGGGGTGCAGGGGCAGGTAAGAAGAAATAAAAGGACATGTTTGCTCATAGCTAATCCCATATGCACTGGGAAAAGACAAAGTTAAGGAGTCCAAGACAGGATGTGACAAAGGAAAGGGCACCTGGGGAGACCTGTCCTAGGTTCATCTAGTTTTTTGTCCCCGAGGTCCCCTCCAAGTGCCACAGGGACAGTCAGGATCCAGGGTTGCAATTCTAAGAAGACTCTGTCCATGGGGAAAGGAATTTACAACAGTCTTTGCCTTCATCCGTGGTGGCTCTAGACTCATTCCTCTTGGTCCTAGTATAAATGCTGGCCCCTCACTCCGATATTTCCAGAAGAAAAGTGATGCTTATGGAATCAGAGCAGCCAAGTGTATTTCAAGGCGCATACTTCCATGCTGAGGTTGTGTATTTACATTCAAAACCCAACGTGAGCATATAAAGTTGGTGTCTTTGTACATAAAAAAGAAACAGTTTTATATGGTTCCATGTAATATATGAGCACACATGAATGCGAGTACATAGAAGGAAACTGGAAGGATGGATATGGGGTGTGACCAGTGGCTGCCCCTGGGAGGAACGTGGGGTGTGGGAGGCACTCTATGTAACTGGGCATCTTTGAGTACTTAGTAATGAGAACGTATCAAGGATTGCTCCGGTGAGGAAACTGACTAGCTGGTCTTGGAAGAAAAGATATTTAGAATGCAAATCAGGAGGCTAAGGAATGGGGCTGGAAGGGGGCTGGGTCAGATGTGTGCTGGGAGATGGGGGACTCATGAGGTCTGGGAGCTTTTTCCCAAGAGGGACAGACACCCAGCTCTGAACGGACATGCTTCCCCAAGCCTTCGTACATCCCTGACTCAAAGATGGTCCCAGCCCCCACCCAACCCCACCCACATCACCACGGGCCCTGCTGTGGATTCCCCACTCCCCCGAACACCCCAGCATCGCCACTGTAGAGTCCTTCTCACAATGAAAGCGCCAGCTCTTAACTGTCAACATGGAGCGCCCCAGGCTCTGGCCAAAGTGCCCTTGCATCACTGGGCCAGGACCATGAAGGAGCTAGGGTTGCCTGCCCTCCAGGCCTGCCCCAACCTGGTTTTCCAGGGTGGCACAGGTGGGTCCCAGTCCTCCCAAACCCAAGCAGAACAAGTCTCCAGACCTTTATTAAACAGGCATTGGTCACCACTTGCTTTGGGTCCACGATGTCCACCAGGGGCTCCTTCATGGCAACATCCCGGATACAGGTCATGTCAAAGCCATAGACGTTCTCCCACCCTGCAGGAACAAAGTAGGGTGTGAAGTCAGGCAGCAGGACCCCAAAGCTCACCAACCTCCAGAGTGCAGGAGAGCAGCCTGCTGAATAGAGGCATCCTCTGCTCTCCTCCGTCAAAATTGGGGGGCCAGTTGCTAACCTGTGAGGGAAGTGGTACAATAGGCCAATTGCTCGTTCACATTTTCTCATTTGCACCTTTAAAAAACCATTTAATGGTTAGGTAAACTGGAGTTCAGAGAGACTAAGAAGCTTCACCAAGTTCACAAAGCTAGGATGAAGCAAAACAACTAGAACCCAAATTATTAGTCTTTCTGGCATCTGCCTTCCTATCTCTTCTCCAAGCCAGCATCTCAATAAACTCCCTTATCTGCAATCTACTTCCCTCTTTCTAGGCCCTTATCCAAACTTCTCTCCTCCCCTTAAAAGGCCCATCTCTCCCTTCCCCATCCCCACGCACTGAACCTCTGTGCAGTCAAGAGAAAGCAGGGTTTTCAAAGTGAAATGGGCTACAGTTTCAGGAGCAGTGCCATTGCTTCTGGCCCAGGCCCTGGGTGGACTACCTTACCTCTAGGCACCTCTGCTTACCCAACTGGGTGGGTCCAGAAAAGCCTCCACCTTTCACATGCCACAAAGCACGCATGAGAGTCCATTCCCTAGGAAGTACTCCCAAGTGGGCGTCCCCTCAGTGCTCCTTGGCCACTTCTAAGACACTTGGTTTGGGAGGTAGGAAGTCTTCGGGTGCAGGAGTCGGCAAGTAAGTGAATTCAAATCTGATGACCCAGTACCACCCTTCAGTGATGGCACTAGTTGGCATCCCTGGTTGATCACCTTCATTTAATCACCCAGAGATACCCCTACCCCCATCTGAGTTACAGATGAGAAAACTGTGGTGAGAGAAACTAGCAGGTTTTGCCCACATGCAAAACCTGGCCCCAGGGAAGCCGTGGAGCTAGGGACAGAGCCCAGCTGGCCTCCCATCCCTCAGCTGCATGCCCCGAAACAACAGTCAGTCAGGAGGAACTGGACAAGAGGCACTGGGCAGCTGAATCTCATTTATGTGTTTTTTACCGGGGTTTAGAAGTGCCTTGGAGAAGAGACACTTTTCTCTAAAATCTGATTAAATTTAAATTTTCTTTTAAAGTGTTTATCAGAAAAATGGTACCCTGGGGAACTCATGTTCCCCTGTGTGTTGAGGAGAGTGAGTGCGTGAGGAGGGAGATGTGAACAGCCAGTGAAAGAATTGTTTCTTTGACTGGGGTTTCTGTTCTAAGGTACACAAAGACCTTCCTGGGTGGGGGGAGACAGAGAAAATTATCTCCCAGGGGGTGAGTGCTTGTGAAATTTCAGCTTGAGGCCAATGTGCCAGTCAGATCTCACTTATACACTGCAGGCTGGTGCCAACCTCATAGTTGAAAACCATATTGTGGGAAGGGAGCTACTCAGTGGGTGACAGGACAGTCCCCAGAGAAGACCCCCTTCTGGTGTTTGGAATAGATATCCAAAATCTTCCCAGATGAAACATGCCTGTTAAAACACACCGCCTTCTGTTTAAACCCACCCCCCTTAAGAGATCTGCAGACATCCACCTGTTCTTTCCCTCCCTGATCCTTGCTGCTAAGTTCAAGTTCAATGCTAGTGATGGGCAGAAACCCAAGAGTCCATCTGTGTAATAGGTAACAGCCAGGGCTTTGGAGTTTAAATCTGAGCTCTGCCTTACATGTGCTATGTCTCCTTGGGCAAGAATGACTCCCTCCCTTGGGCTAGTGGTGTGGTTCAAGTGGTAAGAGGCCCTGAGTTCAAACCCTAGTGCTGCAAAAAACAAAACAAATAAACAAAAATGACCCCTCCCTAAGCCTTAGTTTCTTCTCTTTAAGGTGGAGAGGATGGTTTAATAATGATGGCTATTCCATCGTGACTGAGGGTGCTAATAGACACCAAGTGTAAGACAGTGGCAGACACCCAGACAGAACTTGACCTACAGGAGTTGTTATTAGTGGTTTAAGCTCTGACTTTGCCACCATCCATGCTGTGGCCATGTGCAAGTCAATCCCCTTCTCTGGACTTATTTGTAAAAGGAGCAGTTTGTTCTGTGGCTGCGTTCTAGAATTATCTGGAACACTTTTTAAAATACAGGCTACTGGGGCTAAGCTGGATCTACTGGGTCAGAACCTACAGATTTGGAACCCAAGAAGCTGGACTTTTACAAATCTGGCAATTCCAACCAGTGTGGAAACCATTAGGATGCTCGGTCTCTACGGTCTTTCTGAGTCCTGACATGGTGAAACGCCCCAGGTCCTCCTGACCACGTCTTTCAGTGTCGTTGGCACCTGTAGGACTGGCTCATCACAGAACCACCAATAATGCTTTTCGACGGAATTGCTCATGAACACTTAACTGTCGCACTGCTTTGCAATGCCTGGTGTTTTCGTTTCCTTTTCAGGATTACTTACATGTCCCCCAGACATTCAGGGATAGATGGCCCAGAGCTTTCCATGCTTTTTCCCCAGTTTTGCTGACCCTTCGTTTCCCACTAGCTCTTTTACTGGAAGTAGAGCGGGATGGATGAGGATATGAATCAAAAACTTTAATTTTCTACTGCAGGTGTGGATTGTCTGTTGAGTAAGTGAGTGTGAGTACGGACTTCTGTCCATCAAGAAATATTTTCACTGATTATGTAGGATCAAAAAAAGTAGCATCCGAGGGGCTTGTAAGTCTTTTGCTTGTGGATTTAATATTAATTTCTACAAAGAACTGAGCTATGATGCAGTGAGTGATACTAAACGAACAACAAAACCATAACTAAGACCAGATGGACTCAAACCCCCATTCCCACAGCCGGCAGAGGAGACGCCTCTATTCTGGGCACAAATAAGAGCTCGTCTGTCTCTGCTGTTGCTTTGCTCACCATATCCAGTATCAATGAAACATTACAAGACACAAAACAGGGGAAAATATGACTATTACCAAAAGAAAATGGTCACAAGACCAGACTCAGCCATGACTCAGGTGTTGGAATCATCCATCAGAGGCTCTACAGTAACTATAATATGTTAAGGAATGCAGTGGAGGACCAGGTGTGGTGACGCAAGACTGTAAGCCCAGCCACGTGGGAGGCTTAGGTAGGAGGGTCATGGACTGAGGCCAGCCTGGACAGAAACATGAGATCCTGTCTGAAAAATAACTAAAGCAAAAAGGGATGGTGGCGTGGCTCAAGTGGTAGAGCGCCTGCCTAGCAAGTGCGAGGCCCCAAGTTCAAACCCCAATACCACCAAAAAAAGAAAAGGACCCAGTGGAAATGGTGAGCCATGTGCAAACAGAAAAAGAATTTCCTCAATCAATGTGAGTCAATGCCCTGTATAGCTATCTTTATCTCAACCAGCAAAACCCCTTGTTCCTTCCTATTATTGCTTATACTCTCTCTATAACAAAATTAGAGATAAGGGCAAAATAGTTTCTGCTGGGTATTGAGGGGGGGAGCGGGAGGGGGTGGAGTGGGTGGTAAGGGAGGGGGTGGGGGCAGGGGGGAGAAATAAACCAAGCCTTGTATGCACATATGAATAATAAAAGAAAAATGAAAAAAAATATATATATAAACCATAGACCAGAGCTGCATGACAATTTTGCCTATATTTATTATTGCAATTTTAAAAGAGACTATTAAAAACAAACTTTGTAAACTGCAAAAAAAAAAAAAAAAAAAAAAGAATTTCCTCAATGAGATGAGAACTATTTTTTAAGGCTTATGGACATGCTGGGAATCAAAAATCATATATCAGAGAAGAAGTCTTTTAATGAGCTCATTAGCTTGCAAAGGCATGCATCAGGGGAAATAATCGATGAACTTGAAATCAGGTCAATAAAAATGACCCAAACTTAAACAATGAGAAAAAAAAAGAACATACAAGATCCATGAGACAAGGTCAAGCCACAGTTAACAGGTGCAAATGGGAATTCCTGAAGGAGAAGAGAAAGACAGCAGGCAGGGAAAAAAATATTTGTACAGGTAATTTGTAAATTTTTTCTTAAATTAACAAATAATCAACCCACAGAGGGAAGTGCTGTATTATAGCCCCAGTCAGAATAAATACAGAGAAAAACACACCCAGATACATCAAAGTACAACTGCTGAAAATAGAAATAAAGAGAAAAATATCAAAAATAGCCAGTGATAGCAGGTATAGAGGCTTACACCTGTAATCCCTGCTGCTTGGGAAGCAGAGATAAGAGGATTTTGGTTTTAGGTCAGCCAGGTAGAAAGTTTGAGACACCTTATCTGAATGAACAAACCAAGCATGGTGGTACACATCTATCATCCCAGGGAGGATTCAGTGGTTCCAGGCCATCCCTGGGCAAAAATTCGAGAGCCCCTACCTGAAAAATAACTAAAGCAAAAAGAGCTGGAGGGATAGCTCAAGTGGTAGAGCAGATGGCCCTGAGCTCAAACTCCAGTTTGAACAAAGTCCTTGCATAAAAATGTGGGGATCCAGCAGCAAAACTCTGGGTGCTGGGATAGACACAGAGGTGAAACTCAAGGACAGCCCCAGCCTTCCAAGAGGCTCTGCCCTCCCCGCTCCAGGGTCACTGGATGCCTCTATGCTCCCTTCAGGCATCCCTCATCATGGACGCTGGTGGCCAACCCAGCCCCTCCACAGGCTGGAGACTCAAGAAATTCAATAGGACATCCTTCGAGTTCCCTGCTCTCCTCTTAGTGCTAAACACCCCATTTGTCACATTCTTCCATGGTTTCCTTTATTCCCTCCCTCATCCAATAAAACAGATATCCTGAGCCTAACACAGGACAGGCCGTGGCTCTTTCGAGGACTCCCAGTGAGCTGGAGAGCAGGTGAGATGGATTGTACATGCCTCTCACTCTTGGATCCCCATGTTTTAAGCGGCTGAGCAAAGGAGAGGCTGAGAGAGGAAGGGAGAGAAAGAAGAAAAAGGAGAGAGAAGGGGAGAAGGAAGTCTCCCCCTAGCAATGTACTTCCTGAAGAACCTGGGCAGTCTCCCTCTCTTGCCCACCTTTACAGTTTTTCCTTCTTACCTGGCTCTTGAATCAATTGAAATTTGCTTAGAACTGTGCCTGTAGCAACCAGCAACATTAATGGTTCACTTTTGACTGAGAACTCAGAGCAACCAAAACCTATGTTGCTTAAAACAGATTTCTAAATGATTTTCTTTCCTTTACTTAAAAATGCATCTTTAGAAAAATTTAGATAGAAAACAACAGTATTTAAAATAACATTTTAAACATTTTTGTGGTAATGGGTTTTGAACTCAGGACCTTGCACTTGCTAGGCAGGTGCTCTACCACTTGAGTCACATTCCCAGCCCCTTTTGCTTTGGTTGTTTTTTGGATAAGGTCTTGAGGTTTTTGCCCAGGGCCAACCTGTAACAGCGATCCTCCTACCTCCACCTCTGTATTTATTTCCATAAGAAAAACTATGGACTGACTTTTAGATTTTTTTTTTCTCCTTTCCAGAAGCTATGAGCATGGCAATGGGAATCACAAGAATAAATCATGTGATCACCAGTACTAGGCTAGCAAATGTCTCTGCAGCACTCTCAGGATCCCCTCCTTTCTCTTGTGGTCCAGGCTGGTTTACTGCCATGTGCCAGTCCCAAGAGCTCCTAAACACATCCCAGTGGAAGGGAGGAGGGGATAAGTTCTGCTTGATCTGGAAACCATGTGGACATTTCTTAAAGAGCTGTCCTAGGGTTGGAGCTCAATAAATATTTAAGTGGATGTGAGAATGAAAAAGGTTCTCCTCAAAACAAAGTCTTTGGTACAATTATACCACGACAGTGCCATGATGAAGCTCCAGGTGAAACATGGCCTATTTATATATGCATTTGATCAATGTTCACTGCTCAGTTCCTCCGCCACCCTCTGTAAGAAGACATCTGTCCTCAATTCCAAGCCACCAGAGGCCAGCGGGCTTGGCAGAGCCTTGAGCAGAAAGGGACTTAGTTAGACCTTCAGAGACCAGATTAACCTAGTCCCTTACAGCACCTCACTCAATCCTCATGATGAGTCACTGGGGTTGATGGCATTATCTCTAACTGAGCCCCAAGGCATTGCTCGAGGCTACCACGTTAGCGAATGGCAAAACTCAGACTTAAAACCCAGGGCTGGCGGACTTCAAAGCATGAAACCTAAGCCACTCTAACTCTCCTTGTCTTATTAGACATCATGCCCGATGGGCCCACCCAGCAGACCATGATTGGATGGGTTTCCAGAGCCCAGAGCCTCAGACTGTCTCTTTCCCATCTTCTGCACCTGGTCCTGAACATCAGGCTTTGACTTTCCATTTCCACCAGCGTGTGACACACACTTTCCCTCGAATGGTCCAGCCAAGGTCTCACCAGCAGCACTAATGCCCAGACAGCCATCGTGAGAATCAGTGAGGTGACAGTGGGTGAATTGTGGAATCAGCCCGTCAGAGAGGGAAGTGTGGACTTTCCCATCAGCCTGTCACTCCCTCCACATCAACCTTGCCAAGCAGGGCTTGACCTGGATGTGCTGATTGTGTTGGACAGCCTGGAGCTTCTGACTCCTGGTTTGGTCTGAGTGTTTGTGCACTGGCTTATTTGAGAGGCTCTTGTCATGTCTGGTTCTGGTTGAGGGGACATCGTCACATCCAACCTACAAAACGTGCTTGGTACAACCCACTAAGGACCAAGGACCAGGCGTGTGTTACTGTCCAAATGAAATAGAATAAAATAGGCCTTGCGGGATGGTACAGCAAAAACACACTGAAAGCTACTGAATAACAGGAAGAGGGGAAGGGGGAGAAATAGAACAGGTTAAACTGATTAAAGTGCAAGGTATTCACAGGTGAAATACCACAGCAAAACCCCTTTGAACAATGAACATACACTTAAGGAAATGAAGGACAGGAATGCAAAACAGGTTGTGCTAGGGGTGGTACTACTGGAAGGGGGAGAGTGAAGGAGGGGGATACGGTTGATGTACTTTGTATATTTGAATGAAAATAGAACAGTGGAACCTGTCAAAATCATTTTAAACAGGGGCAGTGGGATGTGGGAGAAGGATGTAAGGGATGAACCTAACTAAGGTACATTGTAAGCATATGCAGAAATGTCACAATGAACACCCCCCCACCCCTGTACAACTAATATATGCTTAAATAAGTGTTTAAAAAAAACCCTGGCCTTGTGGGACCAGATGAAATAGTGGCGAGGTGAGGAGAACCACACCTTTTTAGCTGCTCAGGCACTGTGAGTACACGTTTACATGTGAGCCTCCCCCACGCGTGCACACAGAGACAGACACAAACACACAGTGTGTGATTGTCCACAGTCTCCACTCCTCTGTACCCCTACTCTATCCCTCCTCTGCAGGAACCTCAGAGAATAAAACATATTTGACCTAATGTGAAGAAGCTCCCATACTGTTCTGACAAATTTGAGTGCTACAAAGGCAGGGTTCTAAATGACTGGCCTGGCTGGAGACCTGCCACGTCTGACCCTGTGGTGGACTTTGGGATAACGGAGTCGTGACAGCTTCCAGCCACTTGGCCTGCTGTACTCTGCAAAAATCCAGCTCCGGCTGCTTCTGTTCCTTCCCTACTCATGGTACATTCCTTCTCTCATCCCAGAACATTATCTTTCACCAGCTGCATTGCTTATTTTCTTTTTGTAGACCTCCCACCCTTGGAACTACAGAGAAATACAGAGAAGAATGCAGAAAGGGTCAGAGACAAACTCTAGCATAGGGATGGTGACTGGGTCATGACCCTGACTACCCACCTCAGGTCTCCGTAAGTGCCTCCCACCCCGAATATGCAGTGGAAATTCAATAAAACAATCAGAAGGTGACTTACAGTGGATTTTGAAGTCCTTGTACTGTCTGTCCTCAATTGCTACCACGTACAAAGCCGCCCGGTCTGGAAACATAAGCCCTCCAGGTTTCTGTTGATGAATTGTGGAGAAATGGGTCTCGTAATCTATTCACCTGACAAAGACATCACATTTTGAACTGCACATAGAGTCACCAGACAAGCACCCCTCGCTAGCATTTCTCATTTCAGTGCACTGTCACCTCGGCTGGGGCTAGGACCAGGGTGGAGATACTCCATGTTTATTTTGGAGCAAGGAGAATTTTAAGGGACCCCAGTGGAGTTAATGAAGTAGGGTGAAGGTAAATCCACAGAGGACCAGAGAACTAGGTTATGACCTTTGAACCTGGAGAAGCAACAGTGAGGGCAGACTCGGCTCTCTGGTAGCCAGGCAAGTCCTAAGTAGAGGTGGCCACAGCAGACTTTTCTCTTGACCAGAGAGAATGACAGGAGAGGTCAAGGTTAGACCTCCACAGAAGTGCATCCTGACACCTGGATCACTCTGTGATGGTCATTCCGTACCTCACCCCCACTCCCTGCCACCCACCACCCAAAGCAGATCTGCTTCAAAGGGAGGGGCTTGGGACAGGTGACCTTCTACTCTGAGTCCTCACTCAAGTCCTCCTATTCATCCCAGGCTATCGGCCATGGGGAGCACAGCAAGACAGCCAGCAGACCCATGCAGGGACACATGCAGACCACTTACCAGCCACTTGTCCCTGGCAAAGATGACTGTGTTGAGCATTGACTCATAGAACAGACAGTACCCCATCCACTCGCTGATAATGATGTCCACCTTCTCCACGGGAAGCTCCACCTCCTCCACTTTACCCTTAAATATGGTGATGACTGGAAGATAAGAACCCGAGGCCATGTGGTACAAGGGCCACCAGACACCAGGAGCCCCTCACTGCACAGTTCTCTGCAGGTGCTAGCTCTATTCCAAGTCTCCTTTAAGACGTGACTCGCCTCGCCCCTCACCAAGCTATCTTACACTGAGATCATGGGCTCCTCTGCAAGGTTTTGAGCCGTGGTATGCGCCTGGCACTGCGCTGAGCGCCTGGCATGCAGTGTGTCATACAGTCCAGGCGGTAAGCACATTATCGTTATCCTCATTACAATTTAGAAAACTGAGGCTTAGAGGTAAAATGGCAGCACTGGAAACAGAACCCAGGTCTGAGTTGATGACTATTAACACTCCTGTCATGGTCCCCATCTCACACGAGGTTACTGTGACGACTCACACCCAAAGAAAATATGGACAACTCATCTGTTGGTCTTCAACAGTGCACAGCCAGGGCCTGGCACCCAGTGAGTACCTCTCTGGTCCCTGTGAGGGAGGCAAATTGGTGTCTTGACAAGGTCATGGGCTCTGCAGACAGAGAAACCTGGAGCTAAGTGCAGGGGGTCTTCTAACTATCAGCCGTACGCCCTTACGCACATTACTTGGCCTAACCAAAGTCCGATTTCCCAGAGAACCACCAGAGAAAGAGAGGGCTGCATAGAACATGGCTGCATTGGCTAAATGAAGGGCCAGGTCCACAGCTCTAAGGCTCAACAGAAACTAGTCATCATCCAACATAGTCCTCCTTTCAACCAGGAACGAGGTCCTTGTGCTATGTGGCCTCTGCTCCTAAGTCTCTTCCACTGTGGCAGGAGAAACTTCTTAGTTGGGGTTTTGATCAGTGGACTTAGAAAATACACATAACTTCGGGGTCTCTTTTTGCATTCCTTGCTGCATAGATCAGACTCAAAGCTACCTTAGACACACCCGTGAACTGGACAGGGGATGCACGGGGTGGCTGGTCCTTCTGAACTTCTGCTCTGACAGGTTACATACATATCCATGCTCAGAAGCCCTCAGTCTGCATCATCCCCTGCAGTCACTCAGTGCCTGAGCAATGCTAGGAAAACTTCGAAGGTAAAACCCCAATGAAGCACATCTCTGTTGAATGTGACTTTCATGAAAATTGACTTGGACTGGTGGCTCCTCCAAGGCAAAGGCACACAGTTCAAGGACTTCATTTGGTGTCTTCGAAGTGGATGGTGCAGGTGACAAAGTGCCTCAGCAGCTTCTAAGAATGGCTTACTCTACACTCTCTCGAATTTAATTCAGTTTTAATCTGATGGAGTCCCCTCTACACGGAGTCAGACATTCTGTACATATGCCTGGGTCCTCACCATTCTCAAGTGAGACACAGGTTTGTGTGACCTTCCTGGTAACTACTCATGATCTCTACCCCGAAAAGGTAAGAGCAGGAAAAGTCAGGCTGGTCTTCCCCAAAGGGTTTGGAGGGGTTGAGCAGGGGAGGCGTTAAAGCTGTCATTCTCTGGTGCTCACAGACCACCAGGGCAGGAAGTCAACCAAATGCAGGACCCAGGGCCCACCACGAGAATTCACAAGGGGACAAAGTCAAGTGCCTGATTTCTTTCTTATTCCGAAAAAGAACTGACAAATACATGCCTGCCTAATTATTAGCTTATTTTTTTAAACATTTTTACGATGTTTTAATGGCCTTCCTTTATTTTATCCTTGCACACTTCCTGAAGGCTCTTCCCTCATGTCTCCCTATGTCTGTGTGGCTTTGGGTGTTTCTCCTCCTGTGTTATGTCAAAGCTTCCTGTGGCCCAGGAAAAGTCTCCTCCTGCCTCTGGGTCCCAAGATCTCCACCCTGGGTGTTTAGTACAAGGCTCCATCTTATCACAAAATCCCTGATGATTCTGTGGACAGGACTCCATTAGGAGCTGTAGGAAACAGATGGACAGGCACTGATAGCTTAGTTCAACCTACAGGTATGTATGGAATATTCCTTGGGTGTACTCTATTGAGTGAACGTTGCCCTACTCCCCGTGTTGGTCCTCTTGTTCGTTAGCTAATATCCTGATCAGTAAGGTCATGACAGATGGATGGATGGATAGATGCACAGACGAATAGATAGATAGATAGACAGACAGACAGATAGATAGATAGACGCCCATGTGGATCACAGAAGAATGAAGCTCACGCTGTTTCTGCTTGCAAAAGGAGAAGGAATTGATTCATCTAGAAAAAGTTCATCAGTCTGGACTTCCTTCATTGAACATCAGCCTTCTACATCTAGTCAAATGCAACCACGTCTTGGAGCAGACTTGCCCCCACATTTTGGCTTGGTGAGAAGATGGGCCTGTCATGAAAGGGAGAAGACACAGTCCAGATGTGGACTGGAGTTCAGACCCGACTCATCCCCTCGCCCAGGTGCTTTGCGCAGTACCCAACTCAAACAACTCTGGGTCCTGGAGGTAACTCATGCTCTAATGAACCTTGAAAGTGCCTCTCCTGTGTGACCTATTTCCTCTCCAGAAAAAGAAGGAAGGGAGGTTGAATGAGAAATCCTTTGAGGGGCCAAAATGTCATAGATCTTCCAATATGGACTCAGCACTCACTGTGGGTAAGCCTCTCTGTGAGGCTTGCTGATGGGACAGTTACAGTTAAGAAGTGGCACCTGTGATATGTGGTTGACTCTTGGAGCCTGGCTGTTTAGAAGCCACATTGTTTCTATGACCCAAGTACAACATCCAGCGGAATCATTAGATATTCTCTTCTGATGTCTGTGGTCACCACCACCAATCTCCTCAACTCCAGAATTCAGTTCCTCAGTCTGCAAAATGCCCACTGTCACCACAGGGTACATGTTGATGCTCAGGGGCAGTCAGCCATTGCACGGGGCTAGGCTGGCTGCAGGTACACCCAGCTTGCCCCTTCTCCTCCACATCCGGGGTCTTTCAAGGGCTGAAGCTGCTGAAGGGTTCTGAGCAGCTCTAGTCTGAAAATCCCGGTGCCTAATCTGGGCTCCATCTCCAAAACTGCATCAGTTCAAGGTTGCTTTGAGGTCACTTTCCAGAGCTGTGTCTCTATTCCATAAGGGTGATGGAAAGTTTGTTCAAATAGCTGTGACAGGACCCTGGCTCATGAATTTCAGAATGATTAATCATAGCTAAGTGCACTGCAGGGAGCAATAAACTCTAAATTGAGTAGTTTCCCCTGTAGGTTCAGTTGGCAAATTACACATCCAGGATTTTTTGACACTGTTATTGCTTTTAGTGTTTTGGTTTTTTTTTTTTTTTTAAAAGGTTAGTACAGAAACTAAGTCATTTGTTTAGATATTTTTTTAAAAAACAACTCCAGTCTGCCCAACCTCATTTGAGCCTCCAGAGCATCCATCAAAATCAGATGACCCAGGGCCAGGTACATGCCTATAATCCCAGTTACTCAGGAGATGGAGGTAGGAGAATCACTGTCCCAGGCTGGCCCCCAGCAAAAGTGCAAGATTCTATCTGAAAAACTAACCAAAAAGGGCTAGGGGTGTGGTTCAAGTGGTAGAGCTTTTCTTTAGCAAGCTGGAAGCCCTGAGCTCAATCCCCAGTACTGACAAAAAAAAAAAAATTAGATGACCCCCCCTGTAGGACATAAAGTTAGTGATCTCCCCATTTTAGATTCATAACTATTTCTAAGAGCAGATCTTATCTCACAGATGAGGGTCAAGTGCATAAGGACAGGACACATATCAGGAGCGGTGGGCCCCCCTCCCACTCCGCATGCACCCCAAGTCACAGCAAAGCCCCTGGCACTTTGCTCACTGCTTTAGTGACAGGCACATCCCTGATTCGCCTGCAGCCTGGGAACTCCTTCTAGTCATCTATTTTAGCTCTCTGTTCCCAAGATTTACCAGGAGCTCTTACTCCCCACCAACATTCAAAACTCCTGACTGCATGAGTGGATGGATGAATAAGCAATTCCACACAAAGGGCACTGGGTTCAGAGACAAAAGATCTAGCAACCAGTCCTGGTTGTAATAGTAAAAACTTAACCAGCTTTGAAAAGCAGCTTGCAGAGAGAGCAGCTCCTGTTTTATCTCAGGAACCATTCTTGAGTGTGTGGCTGGTTGTATTGCTCTGTTTGCCTGGTAAGTGAATTGGAGTTGTAGAAGTCAAATAGTGAAGCCCAAACACAGGCCTATCATGGCCCCTGTGTGGGTCACCCAGCATCCCTGGGATTCCTTTCCTTCCCCTGTGAATGAGTGCAATAATGTCTGATCTCCCTACCACCTGGAATTGCCGAGAACTTCAAGCAAGTGCTTGGAGGGTTCAGAGAAGAAATGTCAGAGGAGGGGAAAGACTAACTTGTCTTTCTCCTGAAAACTGGTCACGTTGGTTGGCAGAACCATCTAGGGCAGCCAGGACAGGGCCAGACCTGCCAGTCTTCCTCTGCCTCACCTTCCTACCCTTATCTTCTCCAGGGCCAGGTACGTGGACAGCCGTCCTTCATGAGGTCAGAAGCTGCTGACTCCCGAGCCACTGGTGATGGGAGAAAGACACCATGAGAATCTTTACCTCCAGACCTCATTACTGAGTGGCATAGCTGAGTCCTGGAAGCCACACAGCTTCCAGGTAGCACATATTACCAAATGGTAACTCCTTGTTCAGTCCCTATTCGGAGCACACAGGGTTTGAGCTGTGCCTTGTCTCCACTGCATGATCTGCCTGGCTTCTCAGAGTGAGGGCCCAGGCTGCTAAGCTGGAGTCAGAAGTCCTGCTGGCTTGGGGAGACCCCTTCTCTAGTCGGAGACTTCACCGGCCTCTCTCCTCCCAGAGGTGCTGGTTGGAACAATGCCCAAAGTCACACCAGGATTCCAGGTGATTTTCATATCACCTACCACTGAGAACCCAGCATGGCTAATGCCCACCACAATGGCTACAGGCACATGACCCTGTCCCCAGGGCAGGAGTCATGAAGAAGGAGGAGGTACTGGACTGAGCAGTTGAAGTCAATGGAGTGTACAAGGCAGAGCTTCCTAGGTCTCAGTCTCACT